TTCTTTCTACAAAAAAAAAAAAAAAAAAGACAAACTTGATCAATGCTGCTAATTCGTTGAACCAAAAAGTATTGATCATTGCATATTTGAATGTTTAAAAAATTTGAATATAGACAAAGGGTCATCTAAATTTCAGTAATAAACCTAAATCAAGCCAGATAGAAACTCAACAGCACAAAAATCTGCACAAATTGAGCAGAAAGGAATTTTTTTTTTGCATTTTTGTATTTATATATATATGTATATATATATATATATATACACACACACACACACACACACACACACACACACACACAGCAGTTCCTTCTGGTCCTCGGATCTGATTGGCTGTTAAGAGTGATATTCCAACAGCCGTTTCACTATCATTGCGCTTGACGAAGTTGTCGTATTTCTCACAGTGAGTGTCATAGAGGACGCCCAAATCCACTATAATTTAAAAAATAGCACGGGTTTGTGTCATGGAATTTAGTTTTCTTTTTATTAACTTGATAACAAAAATAAAAGGTTGTCTCACTCATGGGCGTCGCTAGGCCATTTTTAGGGGGGCTATAGCTACTGTAGCATCTACTGTAGCCTAAGTTTTCGCTGCGTGCACCCCTCATCACACCACACAGCTGTTTCCTCCAGTGAAAATGAAGCACATATGAACGCATACTTTATAAAACGATCATGTTGCCATTTCATTTAAAAATTTAACTTTTTTCCAGTGCATGTGGCAAAGAGGCTTGCATACTTGAGCTAAGGAAAGAGGGTTGTACTAGAAATGCAAACAGTAAAATGTTGTGTGTGTACAGTAAACAGGTGTGTGTGTGTGAGAGATCATGAAGACTTGTATTTGGCTTATTCAGTTATATGTTATACCTATGCAATATAGTGGAATACTGCACTTTTTAGTATATAAATTTAGCATATACCACCCCTATTAGTCAAACATTTTTTGTTATATATATATATATATACAGGGTTTGAAATTAACTTTTTCACTCAGCAGCCAATTTGGCTACTAAATTTTTAAGCTACCGGCCATTCATAATTTCTACTAGCCAAAAAAATTAAACAAATAAATAATGAAAAAAAGGCCAGAGGTAAGCCAACAGCTTGAGGCTGTCCACACTGGATGCGACAAAGTGATCATTGCAAATCATTTGTACTTTGTCAAACAGTAGGCCTACGCCATAAATAGAACGAAGCATCAGTTTACTGTCGGGGATTTGTCGTGCTGTGCTGTGCCACATCCAGTGTAGGCCGCATCAC